TAAAGTGGAGGAACCTTTTTTCTCATCTCCAGTTGAATTCTGGATATTATACACATGGTGTTAAACTGGAAAATTCTTCACTTGTGAAGGATATCAAGGTCATTTGAGATATAGGGAGTGGTCATTCCTGTGCATTTGCAAATCTCCAAAATCCCGTGTGAGGGTCCCATTCTCAGAATTATGAAACATCACTAACAGTGGATCTTCAGTGGCAATGGTGCAACCTTGGGAAACACTGGCCACTTATCCATCCAGAAATGAGTTTCCTTTAAGTAGACATGAGGAAGGCAATGGGAAATCAGTTGATATAGTATTTTTTTCAAATGAAATTGCTCATTGATGTTAAAAATGGAAGACTCCTACAAGAGAGGAAAGCACAAGACCACACATCATGGAGAAATAAGCACAAAACTTGTCCCCATGTTTCCTAACTTACAGCTTTGACTACACTTCAAAAAGTACTTCATTGGCTGTAAAATGCTTTCAGTCTTTCAGTAGTAGCAAAAAGCACTAAATAAATACTGGGTCAATCTTTTATCTTAGCCAGATTACGACCATTACATATCAGAAAGCGGTTGTCATTGTTTCAGCAAAGAACAGATTCTAACAAAGATTATTGTTACTTGGAAACTTGGGTTTTAAGATGAAGGAAGATTAATTTTAGTTACCAGTTATGAGAGGGTTTGATGTGCTTTTGTTTTAAAATGCGATCAGAAAGTCAATGAGTTTAAAAAGTTGTTTCAAAAAAATCACTTTACTAAATAATTTAGGTGAATATTTGTGCTAAAGATACTATATTGATGTTTTAAATGCAAGACATCAAGTAGGATGTAACCCATGTCATGTAGGAGCAAAACCTGCTAAATTTGTATTATTTGGTTTGTCAAATGTTTTATCAATTAGAAATTTACAATGCATAAAATGTTACCATTTAATTGAATAAGCCAAAATAATTTTTAAGATTTAATTTTCTACTACCATTGTAACATCTACAATTTCTTGTTTGAAAAGTGGCACTGACCGGCTTTTCTAAATTAGACTAATGATGTACCTAAATCATTTGGCTTTTGCTTGGTTCGGCTGTGGGAGGCCCTGGGAGGGCCATCCCGATCTTCGACTGCAGTGATTTCTGCTTCATCTTCAGTCACTCCATCACCAATAGCTTCCTAAACAAAACAAAACACTCATCTCATCATATTCATGGCAAACATGCATCATAGATGAAAATATGTTAAAATCACATGTGCATTTCATATTTCCCCTCAATTATAAAATTAACACATTGACAATAGGACTGCAGTGAGTTCATGCTTAAAAATACTCAATTAAGGCAATCCTGAACAAAATTTAAATTTTATAGTCAATTATAATTCTCATTAGCACTAAATGTTTCTATTCCAAATAAAACATGGTTTACTCCAATTCCTAAAAGCTTAACATGTCATATTGTCAATCCATCTCCTACTCTCATCCAAAATACAAGATATTTCCTCATTCGAGAAAAAAAGATTCTCTGTAATAATAAACTGAAATACTGCATATTGAGAACATTTACTAATTGTACAAAATGTTGAAATATCACAAAGGCAAGTTCCATTTCCAGTCAGACATCATCTTAACTCAGAAATATATCCTTCACTGTCACAGGGTCAAAATTCTGTTACTCATTCACCAACGTTCAATGTAGAATGACCTACATCACAAGAATTGCAGTGGTTTAAGAAAACAGCTATCAATTGACCTAAAACAAAAATCAATATGCTTATGGGAAGATTGTCCAAAAATATTCTCTTGAGGCAATTAGAACTTCAAATTAACCACTGGTGTATTTTACATAAAATATCTGAATTATTTGCATACTCCTTTCACTGTCAGACTCATTAGATTCTAATACTTCCAGATTATAGTCCAACGTTAACTGTACAATAGAGGTCAAAGATTTTGTGGCATAGTGATAGTTTTCCTATGTTTATCAATTTCACTTCCAATTTCCACCCTACTCTCACCTTTACCTGGTCCATCTCTGACTCCTCCCTTCCCTTCCTCAACATCTCTGTTTCCATTCCTGGAGATAGGCTGGCCACCAATATCCACTACAAACCAACTGACTCCCCCAGTTACCTTGACTATGCATCCTCACACCCTACTTCTAGTAAAGACTCTATTCATTTCTCCCAGTTCCTCAGTCTCCGTCGCATCTGTTCCGATGATGCTAACTTCCACAAGAGGGCCTCCGAGATGTCCAACTTCTTCCTCAACCGAGGATTCCTCAGCACCATTGGTGACAGGGCCGTCAGCCGGGTCTGATCCCATCCCCTGCACTTCAGATCTCACCCCCTCTCTTCCCTCCCACAGTAGCTATAGGGACCCCTTTGTCCTCACCTACCATCCCATCAGCATCCACATCCAGAGAATCATTAGCTACTATTTCCGCCACCTCCAGTGGGAGACATATTCCCCTCCCATCCCCTGTCAACTTTCCGCAGGGACCATTCCCTCCAGGATACCCTTATTCTCTCCTCCTTCACTCCCAACACTACTCCACAGCCCCATGGCATCTTCCCCTGCAACCGCAGAAGGTGTAATACCTGTCTGTACACTTCCTCTCTCCTCTGTATCCAAGGGCCCAAATACAACTTCCAGATGAAGCAGCACTTTACCTGCACTTCCCACAATCTAGTCTACTGTATTCGCTGCTCACAGTATGGTCTTCTCGACATTGGGGTAATGAAGCACAGACTGGGGGACCACTTTGCAGAATACTTACGTTCTGTCTGCGAAAAAGATCAACTTCCAGTTGCCTGCCACTTCAACACACCACCTTGTTCCCTGGCCAATGTCAGTGTCTCAGGCTTGCTGCAGTGCTCCAACGAAGCTCAGCACAAGCTGGAAGAACAGCACCTCATTTTCCACTTGGGAACTGTACAGCCTTCTGGACTCAATATCAAGTTCAACAATTTTAGGGCTTGAGGCACCTTCTCCCATTTCTTAACCCAATCCCACACACCAGGCCTTGTTATCACATGGTCTGCTATTACACACTACCGATTGTTGGCCACTAATAGTCCCCATTAGCAGTTATTCATTCTCCTAGGCTGACTGTTATCCATTCCTTTGTCTGTTCAACTGTTCTCTCTCTTTGGGCTTTATCTTCACCTACCATTTACTCATTACCCCCTCCCCTAACCCTATCTTTTGCATTAAAAAAAATTTTTTCCTAGCTACAATCAGTTCTGAAGAAAGGTCATAGGATCTGAAACGTTAACTCTGATTTCTACCTGCATATGCTGCCAGACCTGCTGAGATTTTCCAGCAATTTCTGTTTTATGTTTCTGATAGTTCCCCGCCTGAGTCAGAAGTTCTGAAGTGCCACTTCTATGGCTTGATAGCGAAACAGGTTAGTTTCAATTTTCAAACTTTTCCAGACAGTAAGAGTGGCAAATATTCCTGGTCAGCCATGTGATGCTCTAGGCTACAACATGCACATTAAAAATGTATGTTGCCGCAACAAATTGTGCTTCTTTTTTTTTGAGGGAGGAATGCAGAGGAGAGGATCCAGTTGGTTCAGGTTGCTGGACCGCCAGTGTGGCTCAGACCAGCCTTTAAGCAGAAAATTCATGATGAGAAAGCAGAGGCCCCTATTTCTAGTTTGGCACCTCTGAACTCCAGTAATACCTCCTTACATGCAGCTTTCCCACTGTATCAGTGTGAAAAGATTAGCTCAGTGAATCACCTTGTTAAGGTTGTAACATTAGGGAATTTAGTACACCAAGCAAGAGCAGTTAACTAATTTGTGGACAGTCTGGCAGTTACACAAAGTGAATATATGGCTAATGATCTGCAGTCACACTGTTTGTGAATGTGAGTTGTTGTCTGTCTGTTAAGTTGAGAGAAATATATGCATGCACATGTGTATCAAGAGAAAGATGATTAATTTGAGGAAGGACTGCAATGAGCTAACACTTAATGAGTGAAGGAGGTGTATGCATTCTGTTCAGGGGCGTGAATGAGGGGTTGTATATAACGCATATGCACAAAGATGATTATGATAGGCAGGAATATTTTGTGGCTGTGGTGAAATCTTTGGTGGCTTTGAGTAACAACATATTCACCTCTGAATCACACTGTTGTGGGTTCAAACCCCACTGCAAGAATTTAAATATGCAAGTCTAAAGTTTCTGCAAAGTGGCAATTGTTTCTGGCACAAACATTATGAGGAGCCAGGTGGGTAAGGTGGTAGAATGGTAGGTAGATAAAAAAGTACGATGCCAAATGGGTAAAAGCAGCAGGGTGTTATATCATTAAGACGTAGGAAGCAAGTAAGTGTGGGTGAGGTTTGAATGGGTCAGATGTCAGGTCAGAGTTTGTATTTGAATCCAGAATTCTGAAAGGGTCAGATGTCCAGGAGAGAGGTGTCAATGTCGGAGATTTGAGGTGGGGCTGTCAATTTTGTAGCAGAGCGGGAGTTAGAACATGTCTTACTCCCCCAGTCCCCAATAACAATGAAGGTTAAATCAGAACCATCAAGTCTCCACCTCTAAATCTGAGTTGGGGACTTTTTCGGTGAATTGTAGATGCCGGGCAATTACCAATTAGAAGTTTAAAAGTCTCAGGTAATTATCAATTTACAATCTCCGACCGTCTGAAGACGGAAAGATATGGGCCATAATCCAAACAGACACTTCGGTGAGGGACTGTTTAACAGTGAAAAGTGAGATTAGACGGGTGTATCTGGAGCTGGCCAGTCCTTTCGGGTGGACAGTGAGTTAGAGGAGGAGGTGGGCCCTACAGAAAGCTCAAAAACGTCTACAACTTGTAATTACTCCGTAAACTGCTCAAGTCTCTCACCCTTTCTATGGCTTTCCTCTCCTCCCGGAGCCGTTCAAATTCCTCGAATGAGATCTTTCCCTCCAAGTAATCGATCAGCTCGGGGCTGAAACCAGACATTTTTCGACCCGGACAGATTACAGAGTAACACTCGTTACTCGGTCCTTTCAACCTGTACCGTCCGGTGGAACACAGAAGCCGTATATCGGTTCCGGGCTTTCCGTTCCATCTCCCGTAAAGGTCTGATTTCTGGTCCCTTTGATCATTGCTTTGCTTCATTCTCGACTTCTTTAGTACAGAATGTCATCTATCAATATAATTGTTCATTGGTTTTCATGGCAACTTATTGTAGGGAGCCCCAGCTGACAGATAACAACAGGAGTGTTAGATATCCTACTCACTCTGAGAAATGGTTCTGAGGGAGCTGGATCAGTGTTAAGGACTTGTCATGTGTAAATAAAGGGTGAGTTGGTGATGGGATACCGGCCTCCATGGAGTTATTTCCCTTAGGGTAGCCCAAAGTGGTTTATCCATTTAAATACAGTGAACTGTATTCCCTGCTGTAGTCACACTACTTCAGTTGGAATGCAACAAAGCAGCCATGCCTTTGGATGACAAATAAGTGTAGATCAGTAATGTGGGCAAAGAAAGGACAACTCTGCCTTTTTTCTTTCAACATTACTGTCATATTCAGATAAAATTTTAACTGTTTTAAGTCTTCTATTGGGTTGAATGAGTGACCTGTCAGAATAGGGTTGGGGTTGCTGATGGGATAGAGATTAAGCTGGGGAAAGTAGCTGGGATGGTTCAGAAGAATAATTGGGTCAGGTCAGGGAGCTGTGGTGTGATGGAATCGAGAGTATGGTTGGGCCAGATTGGAGTGAGGATAGGGGTGTGTTGATGGGACAGAGAGTGAGGTTGGCTTATGAGTGATGGAGACAGAGTCAGGATGGTTAGATCAGTAAGAGTGTGATTGTGGGAGAGAAAGTCAGGTTGGGGTATTGGGTGCCAGGTCATGTTGGATTGAGTGAATAGTGGCAAGGAAGAAAATCAGCTCTGGTCATTCCAGCTTTTAGTAATGTCAGTTCAAATGTTAATAGTGGCTCAGGTTGGGAGGGTTTATGGTACTCACTTCAGTTATACTGGCTGATCTGAGTTAGAGTAAGTGTTAACCAGTGTAAGTCCAGCATTTCTGGCCAAAGTCTCTGGCACAGACCTCAGAACTGGAAACTTTTATGGAGGGCACTGGAAATGAATCCAATGAAAGTTTAGTTGTGATTTGTCTTCCTTTATTTGTGCATTAAATGTGAGTATCACTACCCAGGCCAGCATTTATTGCCTGCCCCTAGATGCTCTTGAGAAGGTGGTGGTGATCTACCTTCTTAGACTGCTGCTGTCCAATTGGTGCAGGTACAGAATGCTGTTAGGAAGGTAGTTCCAGGATTTTGATCCAGTAACATTGAAGGAACAGTGATATAATTCCAAATCTGGACAGTGAGTGCCTTTTATAGGTGGTGTTCCCATTACCTGCTGCTGCCCTTGTCCTTTGAGATTGTAGTGGTCATGGATTTGGATGGTGATGTCCAAGAAACCTTGAATGTCTGCTGTATATCTTGTAGACAGTACACAGAGTGGTAGAGAGACAAAATATTTATGTATGGATGTGGTGCAGGTCACGTGAGATGCTTTTTCCTGGATGGTGTCAAGCTTCTTCAACGTTTCTGGATTTACACTCATCCAGACAAGTGGGGAGTATTCCATCAATCTTCTGACTTGTGCCTTGTAGATGGTGGACAGGTTTTGGTGAGTCAGAAGGTGAGTTGCTCATTGCACAATTCCTAAGCTTCTGACCTGCTCTTGTAGCCTCAGTACTTGTATTACTGATCCAGTTCAGTTTTTGTCAAAGTTAACCTGCAGCCAGTCAATAGCAGGAATTTCAATGATGGTAATTCCATTGCATGTAAAGACACGATGGTTAGATTCTTAGACAACAAGGTGCAGAGCTGGATGAACACAGCAGGCCAAGCAGCGTCATAGGAGCAAAAAGGCTGACGTTTTGGGCCTAGACCCTTCATCAGAAATGGGGGAGGGGAAGGGGGTTCTGAAATAAATAGGGA